AATGAAACAATTTCTGCTAATAAGTCATGAAATACTGAAAATAATTATACATTTTCATTAAACTCTTTCCTAATATCCGCTGGATTTTTTTTTACTTCTTCTTCTCCTTCTCCTCCTCCTTTTTCTCCTCTTCCTTCTCCTTCTCCTCCTCCTCCTCCTTAATTTTAATGAAAAGTTACAGAGACTTTGGATTTGCATTCGTTCATTGTTGCCCTTTTCTCCCTGCCTATCTCTCCCCGCCCCAGTAAAAGAAAAATTCTTTCATTGTTACACATTTCCTCCCCTCAGGTCTTCTCCACTATGCAGTCTTCGCTCTGGACTCCTGTCATGACAATAATACCTAATCACATATCCCTTTTAAACAGTTCTCTTCCTCATCTGTTTCAGTGTAGTGTACGTTATTTATCCCATGTTTCTGGATTTTGTAAATGCAGGTTAATTACTTCTTTTTATTATTGAAGTTATTTAATTCTTTAAGCTAGTTTAAATTTGGATTATTTTAGCCATTACCTTAGCCCCCTGTAGTGTCCAGCTACCTTATCTGCAGATACATAATTTTAAAAATTATCAGCAGCTTTGGGATAGGAGAGAGGGTACTTCCCACACTGAAACAAGGCTTGGGGAAGATTGGAGCAAGATCCTGCTGATAGTGGTAGAGGGACTATGGCAAGGTGCACGCAGAGGAGCCCTGAGATAGAGGCCATAGGTAGAAGTTTTGTTGTTCTTTCTGGATGACGAAAGGAAAAGCTGCTTGCTTAACTGACACCAGAGCCTGTGCCTTGGGCCTGGACTTGTATTGGCTGATACTCTTTGCCTCCCTCACTCCACAACTTACTTCCCTAAATAAACCCAGTCTCGGCCAAAACTGTGAGTAAAGTCTATGAGTCAGCATTGAACATTAGACCTTAGTGGTGGGTAGGAACAGTTGCAGGAGCCTAGGGGTGGTGTGTCTGACCAAGAAGCTGTCTGCTGCTATGGGTATTAATGATGGAGACAGTTCACCTTTATGAAGTAGAGAGAAGTCAGACATGGCCACCACTCTATACCCCATCTGCACAATTACAAAGAGTTTTTTTGGCATTTGCATTGATTTATAATATTTTTACACCCATTTGCTTTAACTTAACTGTTTTAGTTGCTTACCCCACTAGTCTTTTAATATGTTTGCATCCCATTTCTAAAATTTTTGTATTTTAATTGTTTTTGGCATAGTCGAGAAATATCCTTTATAATTTTAAGTAAAGATTTGTGGATATCTTGGGGTTTTTCGTTTGTTTGTTTGTTTGTTTGTTTGTTTTAAAATGTCTTATGTTTGCAAATGAAAATAGCCCTGGTGATTCAGTTGCATGGTTCAGGTGGAAGTGGTAATCTACTTGTGTAAAAATTGATGGTCTTGGAAACCCTATGAGGTGGGTCTCCTTGGAGTTGGAATTGATTCATTGGCAATGGTTTGTTATTCTTGCATATTAAAGACAACTGACATAACTTGAATTCATAACATTTTTCTTGTTTTCTATAATTCCTCTATGGTCTTGTCAGGTCAAGACCCCCAGGGTCTTTTTGGACCCTGGGCCCTAGCCTGTACCTTATTAGTATATACAGAGAAAGCACTTATATTTCTTTTTTTCTTTTTTTTTTTTTTCAGTGCAGTATACACAGTTTATCCAGTTTTTCTCAGTCTTACCCCAACCCTGATATCAATCCCATTTTAATTGTTGTTGTTAGGTGTTGTCAAATTAACTAGGATTCATAGAGACCCTGTGAACAGCAGTTCTGAACTTTGCACTATCATGTACCCTCCTCTCGATTTCTTTTCTGTTTTCTATTTTCTTTTTTTAAATTTTTATTGTATTATTTTTATGTGTGCCGTCAAATCAGATCTGACTGGTACAGGAGGAGATTGCCCCCTCCTTCTCCAGCAGAGCTTCTGGTGGATCGATTTCTTATACCCTCAAATCTTTTGTTATAGTCACTGTGTCACCCTCTCCTGCTCAGGGTTTTCTCTTTTTCTCTTTCTTTGGTCTTTCCCTTCCCCAGCATGATACAGAAATTTATAGTAGCAGATTTTTCTTTATTTCCAGCATTTACGAGACTACAGGGACTGAGCTACACAATAGCTGTCTCTTTAAAGAGAATATTTTTTTATGGATGAGAAAAGTGAAGTAATGCATATTCATATTAATCCTCCCAAGAAGTGTGTACATTCATCCATAAAGATGCTGGTCTGGAATTATGCTGCTTCTTCATATGATGTATGCCAAAAAATGGTGGAGATTTTAGTATTAAAAGAACTACTAGACCACTCTCAGTCACAGTGGACGGTTGATCCTGCATAGACTTGAGATCTGATTCCAGTAAGTTGCTTCTGAAAAATGACTGTGTGGGAGCTCTGGTGGCCTAGTGATAAGAAACGGCTCTGCGGAAGAAGGAAGGGCAGTCTCCTCCATACAATTTACTGCCTCTGTAAACCTGCTCAGAGGTCAGCTGTGAGTCACTTCTGGCTCCATGTTATATTGCAACAACAACTTAACAGTTATCTGTATAATGGAGGAGGGGTGCTTTAGGAGGGGTATATTTGCCACCAAGACAGAATTTCTTGAAAAAATTTCTTGAGTCAATTTAGCTAGTAACATGCCTCAGTAGATTTCCGCCCCCCCCCCCCCAGCATCCAGTAGTCTCTAACCAGTCTGAATGGGACTGCTTCTTTGTACTGCTTTCTTAAAATCTATACATTTTACAAGGAATATCTCCAAAGAACATTGTACTAAAGGATAGTGACATCAGTTTAAAGACGAAGGTGCACCTGATCCAGGCCATAGCCTTTAGTAAACATAGTTACTAAGTGACTAAAGGTGACAGAAGAAGAATCGATGTCTTTGAGTTGTGGTGTTGGGGAAGAATACGGAATTTCCCTTGTACATTCAAAAGAACAAATTAATGTGTCTTTGAGAGTGAAACCAGAATGTTTGTTAGAGGCAAAGATGGTGAAACTTCATCTCATATTGGGCATATTGTAAAGAGAGGCCAGTTCTTGGAGAAGACATCATGCTTTGAAAGGTAAAGGGTTAGCAAAGGAGGGGAAGACTCTCAGAGAGATGAATTGACACAGTGAGTGTCAGTTTGCTCAGGTGTATCAGAGATAATGAGGATGGCACAGGATAGGGCAGGGTTCGGATCTGTTATTCATAGAGTTGCTGAGAGTCATGGTCAGCTAGCTCGCTGTCACCTAAAAGCCACAAGCCTCAGTAAAATAATTTTTTTTTCTCATGCTCAGTGAACTCTTTTTTTTTTTTTAATTTAAGAAAGGTAAAGTTACCTTTATTTTATTCTTTGTACCTGTAAATCATTTATGTAAATTTTGTTATAATTTCAAAAACATAGTGTCCTGTTAGTAGTTCTTAAATTAAGTCACTAAGTTTTCTTATTCATTATGGAAAACATACATCAAAAAGCCATCAAATAGTTTACAATCAAAAATTGCAGCCCCAGTATGGGGGAGCGGGTAATTAGACCTTTTTTAAAACTGTTGGGTGGGGGGAATACATAGAAGGTAAACAGTAATGAGAAGTAAAACTTAAAACCTTGAAAGTTTACTAGAAAGCAGTCAGGTGCAGAGAGTGGACCATGGCAACACTCTCTTCCCCTGGATCCCTATCCTCCTTCACAATGTCCTCAATAAGTATTTGTTTTTCCTGACACTCTTCGGTCCTCCCTTAAGCTATGAACTGAACAAGTTTGGTGTCTTGAATCATATATTGATATAAAAATAGATGATAATTTTTCCCCCGTGCCATGTAGACCCAAGACAAGGATGAAATAAATGTAGGACATATAACTTAAGCCCATTTAAAGGCTTCCAGTTAATTGTAGCACATAGCAGTACTGCAAGTAGAAAGAATGAAATAGATTTATTCCCCCACCCCCAGTATTACAGATAGGTATTTTGGCTGGGTTACTGACAATGAAACCTAATTCCACTCCAATCCCTCAAACAAACCACACCTGTGGTTAATAGTGACTCACTGCATTTTATTATGTCACCGGAAGAAGAAACCAATGTTGTCTGGTTTTCTTCACCAGAACCAGTAAGTTCTCGTTTTAAAGTTTGAGATGTATTCCATAATAAGCTGAGTGAGAAATCTATTTGAAAAATACATATTTATATTAAGAAAGATTCAGGTTATTTTCATGCAAAATATCAGTTGATAGGTTTCTTCTGTCTTTGATTCCATGTTGCTGGAAAAAGTTTAACCAAACTTGCATGCTAATTTGTCCTTAGTTGTAAGCTCAGCGAACTCTTAATCCACAGCCTCAACTTATTCTTCAGCTCAGTAAAGGCACATTTTATTATTTCATAGGTTTTAAATTTCTAATTTTTTTCCTTTCTAGGAATCTCTCTGTGAGTTGATTGGATTTGTTATATTTGTATCCCATGTCTCAATTTAAAAAAAATAATTGACTAAATAATTTTTGTCACAGTAAGATGAATACTTAGGAGAGGGTTGCTAGTTAAATTCCTTTACTTCTAATATACTAGAACCGAAGAAAGCCCACTGCCCTTTACTTCATTGACCCCTTCCAGTTCACAGTGTCTGACCTTCAGTGTGGAGACTGAATACCTTTCTAAAGGCTGCTACCTGTCATTCTCCTGGGGAGCAGCTGGGTGTTCAGACCACTGACGTTTTGGTTGGCAGTCTGATGTATTGGGCACTGTATCAAATAAGACATGATAAATAAGTGTGTTACATAATTAGTTTGTATTTGAAATTAACATACTCATTTCAGAGACCTAAAGTATTTATTTTCTAGGTACTTGAAATATTTCTCTTTAAATATTTTAATTATTTTAACATAACTATTTTTACTACAAACTAAAAAGTTTCTGTCTAATCTTATCTAGACAAATCTCAATTAAAAGGCAAAGACTTAAGTATTATTTTGGAATTGTATATATATTCTTGAACCTGGATGTACTGTAATATTTTTGCTTCTTATGTCAGTTCCCTTAGCCACATAGAAGACACTCTCCCTCCAGGCAAAGCAGTGTTTTACACATGGGCTGATCCAGTGGGCTCTAAAAAACTCAAGTGGAGCTGTGGACGAAGCCATGGGGAAGTAACACAGAAGGATGTAAGTGTGGAGTTGATGGCTAGTGTGCTCTCAGCAGGTTTTTGTCTTTTAAATAGTATGCTCTTTGATCTTTATGTTTGGTTTTTGTTTGTGTGGTGTTTACCCCCCTCCTCCCCTCATTGACAGTTCTTTGGAGCACTATTCTATTCTGAAACACATTGGGTTGACATGATTTGGAACTGACTTCACAGCAACTATGTGTTTGGTTTTTAAAGACTTTTTGTGCTTCTCTCTCTCTCTCTCAACAACTGATGCAATCACAGTTGCCAATGTTTCCATAAGCAGCTAAGCATTTTAATCATTGTACCACCAAGTCACTTTTCTCTTACCTTAACAACATCAAAAAATCTGTTAACTCGGGGAGCTCTGGTGGCCTAGTGGCAAGAAGCTGCACTGCAATCCCAGAGGCTCACAGTTCAAATCTACCAGATGCTCTGCCGGGGAAGGAGGGACAATTGCCTCCTGTACCAGTCAGATCTGATTTGATGGTACACACAAATAATAATAAAGTAAAATAAAAAAAAAATCTGTTAACTCTTGATTTAATTCTGAATCACTATTCCAAATCATCACAACCCTACTGTAAGACAGAAGAGAGCTAGCCCTTTGGGTTTCCACACCTGTAAATCTTAATAGAAGCAGACTGCCACAGCTTTTTCCCACTGAGTGTCTACTGAGTTCAGTCTTTCTTACTTTTGCATCAGCAGCTCAGCATTTTAGGCACTGTCCCATCAGGTCAGCTTTCTCTATTTTACTGTTGTCAGTGACTCATAGTGACCCTGCATACAACAGAACAAAACACTGCCTAATGCTTCTGCATCCTCTCAGTCTCTGCCGCTGAAACACACTGCTAATCTAGTTCTGTTTTTGTGGGGGAAATGCTTAATTGAATTTAAGGGGTAGATAACCTTGATTGATCTAATTGAAATATTTTCTTTCATCCGTACATAATAGACGTATTCAGGAGAAAGATTTTATTTTAATGTGAAAATAATTTTATGTTATTAGTACTTTTTCATATTTGAAGATTCACTTTCATAAAGATAAATCTGAGATCTATACAATATTAGAAAACATGAGTTATTTGGAAATAAATATTAGTTTTAATGCTGTATAATTTACTATAATCTATTTACCATAGCATGACTGTTTTAGATACTGATTATATGGTAATAGTTTGCATCTTTGGAATTATATTGGTTGGTTTAAGGGTATAATTTTCATTTTTTATCTCTAAATTGTAACATAAGTGAATGTATGTAATTTTCTGCTAATCACAATGTTTGAGTTACAAAATTTTATGATTATTAATTAGTAGACTTTGTTACATTTATCTTGTCATCAAACCATAAGACCCATGTATTAATACAGTGCTTTTATGAGGACTTTTTTACAGAAATGATGTCATAGTGTGAGTGTTCATGCATGCACTTCAGGTGACAAGTATATTTTGTTCTATTTTTGGCTCAGCTCTTAAAAAAATGGAAATTTCAGACTGTGGTAACTTTTAACATACATAACATTGCTGCAGTCTTAAATAAAACAGAAAATATTTTTTGTTACAGGGGAGTCTATAAGACTATTAGGTAAATTTTATTAAAATAAAGGCATTAAATATTTGAATTGTGTTCTTGATAGTATCTTCATAGTATTATTGACAAGACCTGAAAATCAGTTAACCATCCAGTGTTTGGATTTACTTCCACCTTCCGTTGGATTGCCACTGCTAAATAACAGCTTAAGGACTAGTAGATTCCAAACTGCTGACCTTTCAATTAGCAGCCCAACGTGTAACTTACTATGCCACCAACATAGACTACTGTTATGTGAATTTTCAAGTCTTGTTCATATATTAGTTCATTTAGTTGTCACCCCAAACCTATGAGATAATTGTCATTATTAATCCCATTTTACAAACATGGAATCTAGATTTCATGCTGATTGAGACAAAGCTCACTTTTATTCTTTTTTTTCTTTTTGTTACTGTTTTTATTTTAGGATATGATGACACCTATAAGTGTGGGGAAAAAAACTATTTATTTAGTTTCATTTTTTGAAGGCCTACAACGCATTATTTTATTCACTGAAGATCCAAGAGTATTTAAAGTAACATATGAAAGCGAGAAAGCAGAGTTAGCAGAGCAAGAAATTGTGTTGGCTTTACAAGATGTTGGAATTTCTCTTGTCAACAATTACACAAAACAGGAAGTAGCTTATATTGGCATTACAAGGTCAGTTAAGATTTGGATAAATGTAAATGATTAATTTCTTGGTTATTAAGAAGTTATAATTGTAAAACTCAAGATAATTTCATTTAAGTTAGCCCTGCTAACTTAAAAGGTTTTGGCCTTTTAAGATTAAAAGCATTAAAATTTAGTTATAAATGTCTCATTATGTTGTTAATTCTCTCACCTTTTTTTTAAAAAAGATTTTTTTTCTTATTATTAATTGCAATGAACATCTACAGAGATTTTGGAATTCTATTCGTTCATTGTTGCACTTTTCTCCTTGAAAAGCAAAAGAAAAACTACTTCACTGGTACACAATCCCCCCAGGCTCCCCGCACATCCCAACCCCCACGCCAAGTATACTCCACTCTGCAACCCTCATTCCGGACGCTTATGATAATCATAATGCCCTAAAATATATTACTTTTAAACTATTCTCTCCTTCATCAGCTTCAATGCAGTAAACATAATTTATCCAGTTTTTCTCAGTCTTAACCCCCACCCCGATTTCAGCCTCATTCTACAACAGTGGCTCCATATAGTATTTGTCCTTTTGTGGCTGAGATATTTCACTCAGCATAATGTCCTCCAGGATCACCCATTTTGAATAATATTGCATGAGTTCCTTGTTTTTCAATGCAGCGTAGTATTCCATTGTGTGAATATACCACAGCTTCTCTATCCATTCGTTTGTTGTTGGTCACTTAGGTTGTTTCCAACTCCTTGCTATTGTGAACAAAGCTGCGATAAACATGGATGTGCATATATCTGCTTGGATGTTGTTTATGGTCTTTTTAGGGTATATTCCCAGTAGTGGAATTTCTGGGTCAAATGGTATCTCTATTTGCAACTTTTTGAGAAAGCGTGACACCACTTTCCACAGTGGTTGCACCATTTGACACTCCCACCAACAGTGAATAAGGGTTCCAGTCTCTCCACAACCTCACGAGCATTTATTACTTGCTGTTCTACTAAATTTTGCTATTCTTCCTGGGGTGAGATGATATCTCATAGTTGTCTTGATTTGCATCTCTCTCAGGGGTAGGGGTTTTGAACATTTCTTCATGTGTTTGTTGGCCATCAGAAAGTCTTCTTTGGTGAAATGACTGTTCATATCCTGTGCCGATTTTTCTGTTGGATTATTTACCTTTATCTTGTTGTGTTGCTCAAGTATTGTATAAATTCTGGATATAAGTCATGTCTGACATGTCATTGTCAAACATTTTTTCTTAGTCTGTGGCTTCCCTTTTTACCCTGTTGGAGAAGTTTTTGCATGTGCATAGGGATTTGATTCTTAGAAGGTCCCATTCATCTATTTTATCTTCTCCTGGTTATAAATTTTTCAGGGTACTCAGAAGACTCTTTATGTTGTGGATTAGGATTACTAAAGTTCTTCCAAGATTTTCTTGAATGAAGTTTATAGTCCTTGGTTTTAGTCTCACCTTTTTTTAAATGTTAGATTTTTTTTTCCCCCCACTTAAGAGAAACAATATTTAATGTGTTAGAAAAAATATGTAATTGTCAACCACTACCATAGGGCAGAGTACTTTATAGATGCTCCATAAATAGTTGTTGGAAAATTTACAGAAAGCACAAGGATTTTCTCATTAGATTTTAAAAGGTAAAACTTGCCACTTTAAGATTTAATAAGATAATAAAGTATTTCTTTATCATTCCGTATCTAATTATAACGGTGTATTCAGACATGTTGGAGATCATGAGGATGACATAAGATACAGGGCAAGATTCCAATCTCTTGGTCATAGAGTTGCTATAACAAATCATAACGACATATATCAACAATAATACTGTTTTCTCTCCATAATAGACACATGAATCCGTTTGAGAGCATTTCTTCCATTTATATAATCAGAGTATATTGTGCCTTAAATCCTGCACCTGAGTTAAATGTTTGAACAAATACATAAATAGTCTATGTTTTATTTATGTTTATTTGACAAAGCATGGCCCTGCCTCTTTTAGTGGAGCTAGTCCAATTTAAACCTGAATTTTTAAAACAATTTTTAAAGAAATTTATAGCTTAAACATAAAATTTTATTACATAAATAAAATAGTAAAGTGGGAAACAGCTTTTAAGGTGTTATGCCTATTATTTTGTATTGTCTCCTGTGTTAAATTATTTGAATGCAAAGAGTATTAAGATGTGTATGCTACATCTCTATTAAATGGTACATTCACACAATGGACTATTATGCAACATTAAAAAACATTGATGTCTTGAAACATTACACAACATGGGGGAGCCTGGAGGACCTTTTGCTGAAATATCTCGGTTACAAAAGGACAAATAATACATAACAACACTGTTACAATACAAACACTGGAAGACTAGGGAGAGAATGGAGGAAAGTGGATAGATAATGAACACTGCATTAGAACAGATGAAGGGAAGAATTATCCGAAAGGAATATATGATTAGGCATTATATACATGACAACAATCTGGAACAAGGGATGCTTTTTGGGTGGGAGGAGAAAATGTTCAACAATGATTGAAAAATATTCTTTGAAAAAACTAACTTTAGGTTGAATTAACTTAAGCAATATAATGAACTACTTTTTTTATCCACTTGAATTGATTCCATTTAATTTTAAAAAATTTTAAATTACATGGCCTTTTCACTTTGAAATCTGTTTTTTTATTCTATGTTTAGACTTTTTAACAATTTTATTTCACTTTCAACTAGATTTATCCTATTTATTCTGTCTCCAGTATTACTATTTCATATTTCCCATCTTCTTTACCTCAATAAGGTCTTCCCTTTTCACTCACTACTTTTGTGTCTAACTTTATTTAGGAAAGTAAAATAATCAAGAGAATTTTCAAAGAAATTCTTACATGAAGAAACTGCCCATCTTTCTCACTTAGAGCAAGTGATAGATCAAACTTTTATCTTTCAGTTAGCTGTGACTGTCAGTCTTACTACCTAATATAGTACAAGTAAAATGAATTGATATTTTTAAGTATAATGTACTTTTTTATAATGAAGGCTATTGTGAAATTTTACTGAAAATTTGTAATTCGTGTTATCTGATTAAAGCTGGTAAATGCTTATATATTAGTGCTTTGATTTTGCTTTTTTTTTTATAAGTTCTGATGTTGTTTGGGAGACAAAGCCCAAAAAGAAAGCAAGATGGAAGCCTATGAGTATAAAACAAACTGAGAAGTTGGAGAAAGAATTTAAGGACTACACTGAATCTTCGCCTTCAGAAGATAGAATTATTGAGTTGGATACTAATATTCCGGTAATGTATTTAAGTAATTATATGAAGTTTTGCTTATTATCTGCTGTAAATAGGTGAATCTCTAGGAAATGTTCAAAGAAAGTTGAAATGCTATCCTTATAAAACATGTTAGTTTTGTGTACCATAGAGTTGGAACCAACTTGTAGCTGACCCTCAAGTGAATTTTCAGCGACAGTTAATCACATGGGAGGAGATTGTCCATATCCATACCCTTGTCCTTGTATGAATAAGGGTATTCTTGTACACATATTTTACATTTATTATCTAAAATGGTTTAAAGTGATAGTTTACCTGTATTAATGAAACATTTTATAACATGTTCAGGATCTATTTCGTTCTTAACAAAATAAATTCATTTAACGTGATTACTTTTGTCTTTTATTATTTTATTATTTTTTTAGTGACTTTTTATGAAAATTGATACAGCCAAATACGATATAGAGCATATATATATACAAAAGGTCTGAATCAAAACCCAGTAGAATATTTTACCTATTGTTTTCATTTGTATTATTCTAGAAATGTTTTGGTATACATTTCTAAATATAAAGATTCATTACGTTTCTTTTGGGGGGTGATTGGCTGCATATTTTTCAGGTTCGCTTAACACCTAGTGGTAGTAACATGAAAATTCTGCAACCACAAATAATAGCTCTACGGAGAAATTATCTTCCTGCATTGAAGTTGGAATATTGCACATCTGCACATCAGTCATCATTTAGAGTTCAAATTTACAGAATACAGGTAGGTAAGTCTTCCAGAAAGGCAAATTCTATTCTAAAGGAACCGTGTATGAAATCAAATGGGTTCCTATAGTCTGTTTCGGGTAATAGTATTTAAGTTTCAATGTTGGATGAGACTATTTGTTACCCTTGTATGCTTATATAATTGACATATTGGGCCTATTTTTTATTTTATTTTTGTTTTTTTAGATCCAAAACCAGATACATGGTGCTATATTCCCATTTGTGTTTTATCCTATCAAACCTCCCAAGTCAGTAACTATGGATTCAGGTTTGTTCTTACTTTTTCATTGCTATGAAAACAGTTGTGTTAGGTTATTGACCTTATTTTACTATAAAAATATGAAATTAAATCATTTTCTATTTAGTTATTTATAGTTACTGGAAAAAAACTGCTTGTGAAAGGACTAGCAAGTACTCAATTAACTACAACAAAATTGAGCTGCTAATTTACAATTAGTCATTTTTAAAAAGATTACTAATTTACAAAATTCTGATTTCAAATTATTGAGATCATCAAATAAATAGTGAGGAAGTGCACAAATTCATAGTTTTCTAACTGCAGAGACTGTCTTGTATTTATTTCTCAGATGAGAATAATTGCAGTTTATCTTCTCTACTCTCTTCCCCTTGGTACTTCGTCCTTCCTTTTTTTTTTTTTTTGGTACTTCTTCCTTCTTGACTGTCCCTCTTAAGTCTGCTTTTTCTCACTCACCTCCACTACCATACTTTATTCCTTCTCTTCCCCAGGGTATATGTTCAGGCCCCACACCTCAGTTTGTGTAAGGAGCTTGATCTGTGCTTTTGCCAAGATTCTCTGGCATTTCTAATTTTAAAATCACTAATTTAAACCCTTTGGAGGGTTAGCTCTGAGTCACTTCCTACTCAACTGCACATAATAACAACAGCAATTTAAAGGATTAAAGTGAGTAATGATAATTAAAAACTAATCCTGGAATAGAAAATTAGTATTGTAATGGATCTTCAAAATATCAGTAATTTTATGATACCCATGATTTAGTAAATAATTTTTATCATACATTGTGATATATACAGTATACTGCAAGAAAATGCTTATGTTTTGTGTTATAGCACTGTGAGATTTACCATATTTATTAACTTTTCTAGCACCGAAGCCATTTACAGATGTCAGTATTGTAATGAGATCTGCAGGTCATTCCCAAATATCACGTATTAAGTAAGTATGTTAATAGAATTCTTTTTATTCAGGTGTAGTTTCAGGATTTATGAAAGATTACAAGACTCATTAGTTTTTCATTAGACAGTTTAACACGACTTGCATTCCCTCAGTGTAACAGCACTGTCAACTACTCCTTTCCTGAGTTTCAGTACAGTTGTTTGTGTTCATTTAAAGTTCTGGTTTAAATGTATGAATTAATCATATTCTTTAAAAATAAATTTCAGATGAAGCAAAGATTTAAATGAAAAATGTTAAATTATAGAAAATTTAAGTCATTTTCTAATTTTGGAGAGTTAAAGGAGTCTGAATATCCTATAACTAGAAGACATATATTTTGTACACACACATGCTCCTGCAATTGAGATGAAATATGCCTAGATGTTCAAAATAGTTTGTTCTAGATTATGGACATTTTATTAATGTTGTTACTTTAGTAGTTTTCCTCTTAAATTGTCTGTCATAACTTTAAGATGTTTTAGATAAGAGGTAAAAATAACTTCATGTTTACTCGCCATCTAAACCAATAAGAAAATATTTACATTCATTCTTAAGAGTTCCTCTCTGATCTCTGTTTTCCTAATCTGTAACCATATTAACCACTATCTATATTCCTTTCCTTTTTAAAACCAAGTTTTATTTTATATGTGTATGTGTACCTATACTTTTGGTTATAAGTTTTGCTTGCCTCTAATGACCTTTTTTCCTTATTTGTTTTTTATATTGGTTTGCTTACAAAGTGTCTATACATTGTGTGTCACACTACTCGTCATTCATATTTTGTTTCATACATTCTCTTGCCTTATGTTTTATAAATTTAATCAGCCATTGGACCTTACCAATCTTTTTTTTTTTTCTCTCTCTTTTTGGACCTTACCAATCTTTACTTTGTCTTTTCTTGTCCTTGCTGAATCCTTCCCATTTTCCTTTTTTAAGATTTTTTTTATTATTATTAAATTTTATTAATTTTAATGAACATTTTCAGAGATTTTGGGTTTTCATTCATTCATTGTTGCACTGTTTTCTCTACCCTCCTCCCCAGTTCGTTCTTTTTTTTTTCTCCCCTTGAAAGTCTGTTTTAATTGTCCAATTGTCACAGTCCTAGTTAAAGGCAGTTCTGATTAATCTTCTTTGTCAGTGTGTCCTTTGCCATTCCCTATCACTCCTCCCTGAGAGAGACTTCACCCTGATTCATAAGGAAAAGGGGACGGTGTATACTCTTAGCTACTTCCTGCTGAAAAGGGACGCTGTACGTTTTAGGGTGAAGATATTCTCTCACTACTCCAAAGGGCCCCCTTGGCAGTAGGAAACACCTAGACTATTATGGAGATTGATTTTGGAATTTAGATGCACTGTTATCAGTTGTGTTTAGCCGTACATGTTCATATCCTTGAAGATGTATCATGAAAGTGTTGCAGCCTAGAAGATACAAATTTAACCAACAAGTTAAAAGTACATGAGTCAAAAATTAAAAAGCAATAATATTCCAAGTAGAGGCTCTAATAGTGGCACAAATCAAGTTACAGAGGGAAGGTAGTTCTTACAATAAAAGGCCTATTGCCTAGAACTTTGGCTATTATAGTATAAAGTTTAGGAACCACAAGATGTAGAGGCTCAACTATGTCATTTATTGTTCTTAAGTCCTGGAGCAAATTCCATCTACCACTGGGTTGTTTTACAACTTGGAGGTCTGCATGCATGGCAGAGGTGAAGCAAGGAACTGCTTATGAGGTTTTTCGTCAATTCCAACAGCTAAGAAATAGTGAGAAGTGTTGGGACCTCAGAAGGCTTTTAGGACCAAATAGTAGGCTCTGTGTCCAGGAGAAAATGAATATACTTACCAGTAATGTTAATGCTCACCCACAGCTCTTCTGGGAGGATCTAAATCATTGAAGCATCCTCCTTTGTTTCCAGCCTTCCCATTTTCTTTACCCATTCCACCCACCCACCAGATTGTGCAACCCTGTGGTTTCAACTTTACCTGTCCTCACCCCTCTGCTCCTATCCCTTTCCCCTTTGAGTCCCCATACTTCTTTTACTAGTTACTTTCTGTTTTTTTGCAATAATGGTCTTATGCAGTATTTGTTCTTATAAGGCTGAGTTAGTTCATTCAACATAATGCTCTCCAATCTCTCCCAAATTATGTAGTATTTTTTAAAATTTTTGCTCCTGACTGCTGCATAGTATTCTTTTGCATGAATGTAACACCATTTCTCAATCCATTCAGTTGCGGGCTGTTTCCATGTTCTTGTGATGGTGAATGATGCTCCTATGAACATTGGTGTATAAATCTCCATTTGTGTCTCAGTTCTAATGTCCTTGGGGTATATGCGTAGTAGTGGAATAAGTGGATCATACGGATTTTCTGTAGTCAACCTTTTGAGGAAATGCCAAACTGCCTTCCAGAGTGGTTGTACCATTTCATAAGCCTACCAACAATGTCTGAGAATTCAGTTCTCCACAGCCTCTCCAACATTTAGTCCTTGCTGTTCTACAAAACTTTGCCACTGCTACTGGAGTGAGATGGTATCTCAGTATGGTTTTGATTTGTATCTCTCTTATTACCAGTGATTTTGAGCATTTTTTCATGTGTCTGTTGGGCATTCGAATGTCTTCCTCTCTGAAAAGTCTTTCCATATCTTTTGCCCACTTTGTAATTGTTTTATCAGTGTTTTTCTTCTGGTGGCCCAGTAGTGTTCTGTAAACTTTTAATATGAGACCCTTGTCTGAGATGGTATTGTCAAATGTTTGTTCCCAAACAGTAGGTTTTCTTTTCACCCTGTTGGGAAAAGTTTTGATGAACACAGAGATTTAATCTTTAGAAAGTCCCATTCATCAGTTTTATCCTCTCCAAATCGTGCATTTCTGGGTGTATTTGTCAGTCTCTTTATACCATAGACTAGGCCTTCTAAGTTTGGTCCCTGTTTGTCTCTTAACTTTATGGGCGAACTCTTGTGGCCTTGGGACAAGAAGCTGCACTGCAATCCTAGAGGTGAACGGTTTGAATCCACCAGATGCTCTATTGAAAAAGGAGAGGCAATCTCTTCCTGTACCAGTTAGATTCGATTTGACAGTACACACACACACACACACAAAAGTTAATTTAAAAAAAAAAAGAACTTTATGGTTTTAGGCTTTATTCTCATTTCTCTGATCCACCTTAAGTTGATTTGTGTGTATGGTGTGAGGATATGGGTCCTGTTTCAGCTTTCTGCGTGGGTAGCAGTCCAGTTTACCAGCACAATTTGTTGAACAGGTTGCCATTTCCCCTTTTAATAGGTTTTATTTCCTTGTCGAATATCAGTTGACCATAGATAGAGCAGTCCATTTTTTTGTTCTCGATTCTGTTCACTAGTCTATGTGCCTGTCATCGTACAGTACATGCTGTTTTGGTTTCTACCACAGTGTAGTAGATTTTGAGGTCAAGGAGTGCTATGACTCCCACTTCAATTTTGTTTCTCAGAAGTACTTTGCTTATTCAGGGTCTATTTCCTTTCCAAATAAACTTGTCAATTTCCCTGGAAAAGGAATTTGGTATTTATATTGGAATTGCATTGAATATGTACATTGTTTTTGGTAGGATTGTCATTTTCACATTATTGACTCTTCCTATGCATGACCAGGGAACATTTTTCATTTTTTTAGATATGTTACTGTGTCTTGCAAAAATGTTCATAGTGTTCTTTGTATGGGTCTTTTCTTTCTCTAGTTAGGTTCAGGCTCAGGAATTTCAGTTTGTGGTTGGCTGTTGTAAATAGTATTGCTTTCTTGGTTTCCTTTTCTGAGTTCTCTTTGTTACTATAGAGGAATCTCACTCATTTTTGTATATTGATCTTATATCCTGCCACCCTCCTAAATTGGTCCACTAGCTCTAAAATTTTTTTGTTTTTGTTGAGTCCTTAGGGTTTTCTATGTACACTATCATATCACCTGTGTATAGTGATGGTTTCACCATCTCTTTACCAATCTGGATGTATTTGATTTTGTTTTCTTCTTGTATTGCCCTAGTAAGTACTTCCAATACAATATTGAATAGAAGTGACAACAGTGGGCATCCTTATCTCGTCCCTGATCACAGATAAAATGCTTTTTATGTTTTTCTCCGTTGAGAGTAATGTTGGCTCTTGGTTTTGCATATCTATTTTTCACTGTGTTGAGGAAATTACCTATTACATTTTTGCTGAATGTCTTTATCAGGAAGAGGTGTTGTTAAGGGTTTATTTGTATACATGTTCATAAGAGGTATTGGTCTGTAGTTTTCCTTTATTATTTTGTAATTTACTTTTTAGAAAGAGTCGTGGTAATAGGGATATTGTAGCTGATGTTCGATGGATCTTAGCTGAGAGCAGGGAATACCAGAAGAATGTCTATCTGTGTTTCATTGATTATGAAAAGGCGTTTGACTGTGTGGATCATAACAAACTGTGGCTGACTCTGAGAAGAATGGGAATCCCAGAACACTTGATTGTGTTTCTGCGAAACCTCTACTTGGACCAAGAGGCAGTTGTCAGAACAGAGCAAGGAGACACTGCATGGTTCAGAATTGGGAAGGGTGTATGCCAGGGATATGTCCTACCTCCATACCTTGTCAACCTGTGTGCAGAACAGATTATCTGAGAGGCTGGGCTCTATGAGGAGAAGTGGGGCATCAGGATTGGTGGAAGATCTATCAACAATCTGCATTATGCAGATGACACAACCCTGCTTGCTAAAACTGAGGAGGACCTGAAACGCTTGTTGCAAAGGGTCAAGGACTGCAGCCTTCATTATGGATTGAGGTTCAGTGTCAAGAAAACAACAGTTCTCACCACTGGACCAATTGGCAGCATCAGGATGGATGGTGAAGAGATTGAGATTGTTAACAACTTTAGTCTGCTTGGCTCCACAGTCAACAAACACTCTTGGCACCAGTAGCCAGGAAATTAAAAGATGTATTGGGATGGGAAAGTCTGCTGTTAGGGACCTCTCCAAAGTACTGAAGAGCAGTGGTGTCTCTCTGGAGGCTAATTTGCGCCTGATACAGGCCATGGTCTTTGGCAATCACTTGTTATGCATCAGAGAGTTGGTCAATGACTAGGAAGGATAGAAAGAGAATTGATGCCTTTGAGCTGTGGTGCTGGAGAAGAATATTGAATGTACCATGGACTGCCAAGAATACAAACAGATTCATCCTTGAGAGGGTTAAACCAAGCTACTCATTGGAGGCAAGGATTCTGGGGCTTCGTCTGACATACTTTGGGCATGTTTCAAGGAGGGACAGGTCCTTGGAGAGGGACAACATGCATGGGAGGGTGGAGGGGATGGCACAAGAGAGGAAGACCCTCTATGAGGTGGATTGATTCAGTGACTGGAGTAATCGGGATGGGTGTGTCAGAGGCAGTGTGATTGGCACAGGATAGAGCAGGGTTTAGGGCTGTTGTACGTGGGGTCACTATGAGTCACAAGTGACTTGACAGCAAATAACAACAACAACAATTTTCTTTTTAAAAGTTTATGGGTTTTTTTAGTTTTCTTTTAGTTTCAATCTGTAAATCATTGGGACATGATTCTGTTTTTAAAATTATGTTAAAGTGCATGTGAATATAATCTGTTCAGGATCACTGATATATACTGTTCTGTTGTATATACCTCAGTTTACATGAGAGTTTGTGAATTTTATGAGAAATTGAAGAATTTCTTACAATTAAAAATATTATGCCAGAACAGTATTTATTTGTATAAAAGTCGTTGAATTTCAAATGGGTGACCCTGGAGGATATTATGCTGAGTGAACTGTCTCCGTCGCAAAAAAGACAAATACTGCATAGTGCCACTGTTGTGGAATGGGACTGACATCAGGATTGGGGTAAGACTGAGAAAAACTGGATAGATTATGTATACTGCATTGAAACAGATGAGTGAGAGAACAGTTTAAAAGTGATATGATAGGGTATTATGGTTATCACAAGAGTCCAGAATTAAGGTTGCATAGTAGAGTGTACTCGGTGCGGGGGGCGGTGAGGGGATTGTATACCAATGAAGGAATTTTTCTTTCACTTTTCAAAGAGAGGAGCGAACTGGAGGGCACGGGTGAGCAGGGAAAAAAAGTACAACAATGAATGAATGGAAATCCAAAATATCTGTAAATATTCATTAAAGTTAGTAAAAAAATGAAGTCCCTGAATTTCAAGGTTCTAAATATTTATCTTTTTTCCTCATCTGCTTAATGCAATATGATTTTATTTTTTATTTTGTTCTTTTTAATTTTTTTATTTCCTACTTATATTTTTAAAGAATAACTATATGAATAATTATAGATAGTTGTTGTTAGGTGATGTGGAGTCACTTTCAACTCATAGCGACCCTGTATACAACAGCTCTGAAACCTGCTCTGCCCTGTGCCAATTTTACTGTCTCCAACAGACCTACCCTCATTACCCCAATCACTGTATCAGTCCATCTCATCGATGGTCTCCCTATCTTTCTGTGTCTTTCTAACCTTCCAAACATGATGTCCCTGTCTAAAGACCGGTCCCTCTTTGCAGTATTCCTAAAGTATGTCAACAAACCTCAGAATCCTTGCCTCCAAAGAGCAGGCTGGCTTCACTCTTTCTAGGATATACCTGTTTTTTCTCCTTGCAGTCCACGGTATATTCAATGCTCTTCTCCAGCACCACAGATAAATGGCATCAATTCTCTTTCTAATAATTCCATGTTATGTAAAATATTTATATTCTATGTCTTGGGAATAGTGCACTTAGGGTGCTCCTTGGAGGAAAAGAAGGTGACACTTTGTCTTTTTGTGATTTGGACACGTAGTTAGCAAGGCTATTTATTCCTTGGAAAGGGGCATCATGCTTGGAAAGATGGGGGGTCAGCAAAGAAGTAGAAGATCCCAATCCAATGAGATGGATTGGCATAGTGACTTCAGCAGTGGCCTGAATATGTCAGAGATGATGAGGATGATACAGGATAGAGCATGGTTCAGGTAAGCTATTAAAAGGGTGAGTCATACTTGTCTCAATAGCACCTAACAACAACAGCATAAAAAAGAATTATAATGATATGATTATATATTTTAAATATTTCCTATTTATAGGTATAAAAGAATGTCAGTTGATGTTCAAAGTGTTAATACAAGAAATGGACCTCAGATTAGATCTTGGGTTTGTGTACGCTTTAGCGGAACTTACAACAGAAGCTGAAGTTTCTGAAAAAACAGAGGTAAGACCTACTTAAAAAGTGTTAATATTATTATGAATTCTTAGAAGCATTAGATTTTTTTTTTTCTACCTTAAACACAGACAAAAAAAATATTATGCTGTTGTACTAAGTACTTTGGTAGAGATCATATTTGTATAGTAAAAAAGATAGAGCAAGAGCTCTGGTGGCCTAGTGGCAAGAAGCTACACTGCAATCCCAGAGCTACGCACTTCTAATCCATCAGATGCTCTGCTGTAAAAGGAGGGGCGATCTCCTCCTGTACCAGTCAGATCCAATTTAATGGTACACACACACACAAAAATAATAAAATTTTTAAAAAGAAGATAGAGCACCAAAAGCAACAACGATTTTAAGTTCAGTTAGTACATAAGAAGAAATGTTCAAACCAGTAGTTGGAGAAAGAGGGTAACTAGTGATGGTCATGTTGCTGTAATTATGTGCTCTTTTTTTTTTAAATTTTTTTTATTGGGAAAAACATATTGGGGGTACAAGGAGGTGAGGGTTGGGG